AAATTAAATGCAATCTGAATCAAAACCTCCGCTAATTTCTTTTTGGGTATCGGCAAACTAATTCCAAAGTTTATGTGGAGAAGAAAAAGACCCAGAATAGCCAATATGATATTGAAAGAGAAGAAGAAATTTGGAATCTGGCACTTCCTAGATTTAAAACTTACTACAGAGCTACAGTAATCAAGATGGTATGATATTGGTGAAATAACAAACAAATAGATCAATGGAACAGAACAAAGAGCCCAGTAGTAAATCTCCATACATGCAGTCAACTGATTTTTGAAAAAAGAGCAAAGACAATGCATGCAGTAAATACAGTCTCTTCAACAAATGGTGTTGGACATCTGCATACCAAAAAAAAAAAAAAAGAGAGAGACTTTACATCTTTCACAAATATAACCTCACATTTAAATTTATATTTACAGACCTAATGTAAAACACAAACTATAAAACTCCTAGAACATAAAGAAGTATCTAGATGACCTTGGGTTTTTTGATGATTATTTTTTTCCTCACCCGAGGACATTTTCCCATTGTTGGTTCCGATAGAGTGGGAGGGAGAGAGAGGAAGAGAGAGAGAGAGAGAGAAACATCGGCATGAAAGGAACACAGCAAGTGGTTGCCACCTGCACAACCCATCCAGGGCCAGGGACAAACTGCAACCAAGGTACGTGCCCTTAGCGGGATCCAAAACCGGGTCTCTCTGGACCACAGGCTGATGCTCTAACTACTGAACCAAAGTAGCAAGGGCTGTGATGATTTTTTAGATATAACACCAGAGCCCTAATGTATGAAATAAAGAATGAAAAAACTGGACTTGATTAAAATGAAAAATCCCTGCTCTGTAAAATGACACTGCATTTTACTGAATAAAAAGACAAGCCACAAACTGGAAGAAAATATTTTCAAAAGGTGTCTCTAATAAAGAACTGTTATCCAAAACATACAAAGAATTCTTAAAACTCAACAATAAGAAAACAAATAATTCAATTAAAAATCGTGTCCAAGACCTTTACAGATATTTCACCAAAGAAGATACACAGATGGCAAATAAACATATAAAAGAATGTTCTATATCATAGGTCAGCCATCTGCAACCCAGAAGAAGGCCCTCACCAGAATCTGATCTCAGACTTCCAGCCCCCAAAACTGTGAGAAATCAATTTCTTTTTTTTAAGCCATATAGTTTATGATATTTTGTTACAGCAGCCAGAACAGACTAAGAGAGTGCTTTTATCTTCCACAGTCATTAAACCTCAGCAAACCACTTTTTCTTCTAACTCTGTCTCAGAGTATATCCCCCATAGGATACACCTGATACAGTGTGTATTTAATTTCCATTTGCTTAGAAAAAAAATCCAAATGCTCAATTATCTTTGTAAATGTTTTTCTGTTTTTCTAATACAAACCTTTAAAAAAGTATTTTTTAAAAAACTTAATTATTTTTTACAGATGTTTCTTCTTTCTCCCCACAGACACCCTCTTCCTTATCCTTCCCCCCACCCCCAAGCATTGTTATTTATGTTTATTAGTTATGCATACATGCATATAAGTTCTTTGGTTTATCTCATCCCCTCTCCTGCCCCCTTTCTCTGAGGTTTGTCAGTCTGAACCATACTCCTTTCTATGTCTCTGCATCTATTTTATTCATCAGCTTTTTTGTTCATTATATTCCATAAATAAGTGAGATCATTTGGTATTTGTCTTTCTCTGATTGGCTTATTTTGCTTAATATAATATTCTCCAGGTCCCTCCATGTCATCTCAAAGGATAAGAGATCTTTCTTTCTTACCACTGCATAGTACTCCATTGTGTATATGTACCACTGCTTTTTTATCCATTCATCTACTGATGGACACTTGGGCTGTTCCCAGATCTTAGCTATTGTAAATAGTGCTGCTATGAACATGGGGGTACATATATACTTTCTGATTGGTGTTTCAGGCTTCTTAGGGTATATTCCTAGAAGTGGGATCACTGGGTCAAATGGCAGTTCCATTTTTAATTTTTAGAGGTAACACCATACTGTTTTCTATAGTGGCTGCACCAATCTGCATTCCCAACAGCAGTGCACTAGAGTCCCCTTTTCTCCACACCCTTGCCAACACTTATTGTTTGATGATTTGTTGATGGTGGCCATTCTGACAGGTGTGAAGTGACTCTGTTTCTGCACAGCACTTATATCCTCCCCCCCCACACACACACACGCATGCACAAACACACAAACACAAGCTCTCAAAAAAATGTTTTGAAAGTGAGAAAAGGTGTCACAAATAGAGCCACACTTAGACTCTCTAGGAAGAGCTGACACTCTGCTTTCATTGGCTCACATTCTAGTGTAACTGTGCAGACATTTACCCAAAAATGTTTCTGCTTCACTCCTATCCATTTCTGTTTCAGCTAAAGAACTCAGGTTGGCGCTTTATTGACTGTCTAACTGAGCCTCTATTTCTTTCTGCATTGTGTCTGCTTTGGTTTAAAAATTGATCTCCACTCAACCAATATTTATTGAGCAACTACTGTGTACATGTTTCAAGTATCATTTCTCTTCATTACATTTTCTCCAACAGCACCATAATGTACTTCCACAATGGAATACTACTCTGACGTAAAAAAGAGAACATTTTACCCTTTGTGATAGCATGGGTGGACCTAGAGAACATTATACTAAGTGAAATAAGCCAGTCAGAGAAAGACAAGTACCAAACAAAATACAGGCATGGGAAAAAAGGGCAGGGACATCTGTAATACTTTCAACAATAAAGATACATTTTTAAAAAAGAAAGAAAAGTATAAGATATGAAGTAAACATCAAGTAATAGGTATGCTTTAAAAATAATAATAAAATAACCTTGGCTGGTTTGGCTCAGCGATTAGAGCGTCTGCCCGCAGACCAGAAAGTCCTGGGTTCCATTCCTGCTAAGGGCACGTACCGCGGTTGCAGTTTGTCCCTGGCCTGGTTGGGGTTGTGTGGGTGGCAACCACTTGATGTGACTCTCTCACATCGATGTTTCTCTCTCTCTCTTCCTCCCTCTCTCCTTCCCACTCTATCTGAAGATAAGTGCAAAAATGTCCTCTGCTGAGGATAATAATAATAATAATAATAAAATAAAAATCAGATAATTGTGTTTCTGTAAATTTGGAAATGATATAACTAAAATGAATGAATGTAGAGATAGACACTCATATGCTGGGGAAAATGTAAATATTAAGTGTTGGGGACACTTCATTAAGCAAATGGCCTTAAGTACTCAAATCCCCTGACTCAGCAGGAGCTTGTGCTACTTCTATCTCATGGTAATTTATTCTTGAGGTGTAAATTATTTACATGATATTTTATGCTTCCTTTTATTTAAGTTGAAAATAAAAATCTGTCTTCCAAAATGAATTGTTAGATACTTGCATGTTGAGATTAGCCTTTCTGACTTTTTTTCCCTTATATTTGATTCAGTGCCTGGCACAAAGTGAATTCGAAATGAATATTGGCTGGATTAATATCTCTATTATACTGGGAATGGTGACCAAAAGATCCCAGTGAACCAATAGTCAAGGAGCAAAGGAGAAAATGATTCAACTCTACTTAAACAGTAAACGCATTACTGTTTTACAGAAGCGCTTGTACCACAATTACCACCTATGAAAAGTGAAGTTGAAATATATCTGATGGTGGCTTTGAAATTAAGGATCTGGTTGTGAGTTCCAATTCTGATTCTAACTCTGTCACTGTGACTTCGGCCAAGTAATAAGGCATCTCCAGATTCTTTCTTCTTCTTTAAAATCCAGAGCTCTGTCACTTCCCCAGGTCATAAAGGAGCCCAAATGAGATGGAGTTCATGGCAGACTTCCTTCTCTATTGAGGAGGAATATGTAATTATGCTCCTAATTAATGCTTCTTAAAAGATTTCTTTCCTGTTTTTAAATCTAAATTCAATTTTAAGCCATGACCTGTTTATAAATATACTTATTTTCTCACTTATAAATGCATGAGGATTTTACTTTTTGAATTAAAGAAAAGCAAAGAGAAGCTTTAAAATTTTAATTTAATTAATAATTGAATTAATGTTACAACATGAAAATTATCTCAATAATACTGAAAACTCATGAATCAAAGAAATGCCATTATATGTATATGTAGCTGTATATTAAATGATTCTGCTTGGAAATATGCTGACTAAACTACCAGATACAGAAAAATACACACAAATAATATTGTTTCTCATGATAATTTGCAAGTGTGCTACCAAAAAGTATATGGATTAAAGTCTAACAAAAAAAAATATATATATATTTATATATATATATAATTTATAATATATATATTAAAATATTAAAATTAAACAATAAAAAGATTTATCTTCATCTACAAAATCTATTATTTAATATAATTATGGTTTCTAAAGTGTGTACCCTCAGACTCAGAATATTGGCTAGGTTTAATATTGTTGGTAATAACTATAAGATATGTTGTATTTAATATAACAATACATTATATTATAATACATATTAATATCTTCAGAAAGAATTCTATATAATGCCACCCATTGACATATACCATGTGTATGGCTGATATTTATTGCTTCATCTGTCTTGATTACAAAAGTGCGAGGTAGGCTCCAAGCTCACTGTATAGATGCACACGTGGAAACTGAGATACATAAGCCAAGCATCATACAGCCAGTACATAGTAACTAAATTTATTATTAAATTTGATATTTAAGTCTGCCTGACGCATAGGCACATTTCCCCCCCAGGATGAAAAACGGTGGCAGGCCAGCTGTTAAATAGGTAATACTGCACAAAGAGTCTGCAATTTGTCTTAATCAGTATCAAAATGAGTGTTGATGTTGTCATGTACCACACATGCACAGAAATCACACATTCAGATATTATTGATCGAGGCAGTAAAGTACTTAACCATAACATTTCATATTCCAAATTCCGAGAAAAGTGTTTCCCTGAAGCAATAACATGGTGAAAGAATTAAAATTTAGTTCACAAACCTGTTTCAGGCTCAATGGAAAAATAAGGCTGCCCTTCCAAGATACTATAAACCAACTTGGCGCTGTTCCCATAAACTGGGTCATCCGCATCAGTGGCTGTTACATTAGTGACAGACGTACCTAAAAAAAAAAAAAAAAGGAGAGAGAGCAAGAAAGATATTAACACATGATTCTTTGCCAAGAGCTAAAATTTGCTAAGCATATCCATACAGAAATCCAGTGTGGGAATAAGGAAGAAATCTTTAATCTTTTTTAAGATATGGAGATAACTACCCTATCATAACTTCACCAATATTCAAGTCTTTTAAAAGAAAGAGTACTGCTAAGGGGGAGTACTACATAAAGCTAGCCCTTTTGGACTCAGTATTGTTTAAGATTTCTTTGTAGTTTACATTTTAAAGTTACCTGTCAGACTCATGTAGGCTTGGAGAACATTGAAAGGAAAAATACCAAAGAAATATGAAACATAGCTTAATAATATAACATAAAATGTAGCATTGAAGTTTCTCAAAAGAACAACTGAATATATGAAAAAATGGCTGTTGGTAAAAGCTGTATAGAAATATCAAAGAGATAACTTATTCATCTTATTTAATTCCTTAGAGTATAAAATTAGACTGGGACCACCGATTCATCAACACGTTTAGGTAATAAGACCTATAGACAATAGAAGCAAATATTTTTTGGATAAGTTATCTATTTTTTGTTTTAATCCTCATTGGAGAATTTCATTTATGTTTAGATAGAGTGGGGTGGGGTGGGGGAGAGAGAGAGAGAGAGAGAGAAAGCATCGATGTGAGAGAGACACATCGAATGGTTGCCTCCCCTGACCAGGGCCGAGACCAAACCCCAACCAAGGTACGCGTGACTCTTTGGTCTGTAGGCCAATGCTCTAACCACTGAGTAAAATGGGCCAGGGCAAGTTATCTATTTTTTATTTCCTCATTCATTCAGCAGTTAAGCACAAAAGGGTGTCTGATATAAAGTATATATGCTAGGACAAAATCTACAGGTAAAAACTTACAGTTTGGTGGCAGAGGGGAGAGGAGGGAACAGACTGCTACACAGGGAAGTTCAGTGCAAGGCAGTGGCACCAGGTCTGGACCCACCACTGAGTCTGCAGAGGGTGTCAGGGCAGCTTGCTGAGAGACGTAGCATTTGAGCTCAGTTATTCAAGACAGGCAGAGTTTAACCAGGGCAGTGAAGGAACTCTAAGCAATAAGTCACATATAAGTGAAAGCAAAGTACTCTGAGAGACAATAGGTAATTCTGAAAACTGCTGAAACTAGGAGAAATGGGAGAAGTCTGGTGTGATAACAAGGGTCATATTCCACAAGGACAGAGACAACATCTTCCTGACCCAGTTAGTGTGGGACACACAATAATTATCAGACATACATATGCTCATGGAAGGAGTGGGTGATTGAATAGACAATCTGACGGTTTCGTGAGGAACGGTAGGTAAGCACTGCAGCTGCGTTGCCTGGAAAGTAGACTCTGAGACAGAGATTTCTTGCAGAATTTGTATGGGCAAGTCCTCTTTGGTCAATAAATTGGAGAAGTAATAGGACAGTAATGGACCCCAGTGGCACCTGGGCTGTGACAGTGTCACAACAAAGGCCTCCGTGGACTCCACTGGGGACTCTAGAGCTGGCATGTCATTGAGGACATAGGGCCAGGCTTTTAGACTCCAGCAATGACCAGTTATTGGATATGGGAACCCCATGGAAATGGAGGTTGGGCCTTGGGACAGGCAGCTTCCCTCAGCTGAGGGACAATCAATGTGGAACACCTAAACCATCAACATGAACACTCCTAGCAATGAGGCAGCAGCATCTCAGACCTGAGAGGAGTCAGGGGTGGACCTCAGCAGCATACTTCTGTGTTTACTGAAATAAGGTAGAGGTTTTCCAAGATCTAGCCAACCAAAATCTCTTGGAAGCATTTTCAATTATGAATGCTACACAGGAGAATGTAACAATGATATTGTTGAACAGTTGATTGGCCTATAAAATTGGAATTTCTACTCAGAATGATGATTAAACAAAATCTATAGTTAGAAAAAAAAAAATGCACTGAATGTCATTCCACCAGACACTGGGAACCACATAAAAAAAAAAAAAGGAAAAAAATTTAAAAAATTAAAAAAAAAAAGCCCCGGCCAGTTTGGCTCAGAGGTTGGAGTGTGGGCCTGCGGTCCAGAGAGACCCGGGTTCAGTTCCCGCTGGGGGTGTGTGCCTCGGTTGCAGTTTGATCCTGGCCCTGGTTGGGTCGTCTGGGTGGCAGCCACTCGATGTGACCCTTTCATGTTGATGTTTCTCTCTCTCTCTCTCCCGCCCACTCTATCTGAACAAGGAATGGAAAAAGTGTCCTCGGGTGAGGATTTAAATAAAACAAAAAACAGACAAACTTAATGCTAACGTTCACAAGTAACTCATCAACTAGTTGGTGGAAATAAGCATGTGAAAGTACAGTATTAGTAACTATTTGGATACTGTGTGGGATGGAGAAGAACTGGAGAAAAAACTTTCCAGATGGGAGGTGGATAATGAGATTTAAGTTCCAAAATAATGTTTGAAGAGGAGAGATAACTGGGAGAGTCAGCCACCAAAGTGAAGGTTGGAGAGGCAAATTGAGAATAAGAAACAGGGCATCTGAATGCTAAATGGGGGCACAGGCTTTATCCCACAGGAAACAGAGAGGACATTTCATTTAGAGATCAGTCTGACACCGTGGGCATCTCTCTCTGATTGTGCTCCCAGACCGACTGAGGCCGAGATGTAGACGATGAGGAGATCACGCTAGTTGTGAGGTTAGAGCAGCCACCCAGGAAAGAGGTGGGAAAACATTCATACTAGGTCATGACAATAAAAATGGACATCAGTGTACTAAGTGTACATAAGATGTTCAACACGGAGATAAAATGAATGAGGGGCAGACAGGAACTATTTTTATTTGAGAGTCCCTGAGAGAACTGACAGAGGCCAGGGACTGATAAGAAGGGCAAACTCCTCCCTGAGAAGACACGCCCCAACTTTTTGTTTTGCTGTCTTGGGTTTTTACTTTGACTTTTTTTTTTTAGAAGAAGAAATGTTTTGGCCAGTTATGAAGCAACACATTCTCAGAAAAATAAAGTCGAGGGGCACACTCAGTTTGATGTGAAGGTGATGAGTGTGGGCACTCAGTGCCACACACTGCCCGGGCACTGCAAAGAGATATATGTATTCCTGTCATCAGCAAAATTACCTTCTATGGGTGACTCTTAAATAAAGAAATGTCTTCATAGAGGAAAACATAAATTCAGATAGTTTCTGAACAATGACAGAATTTCTGTGTATATATGTGGGGTGGGCATATTCAGGCAGAGTTGCCGGGGGTTAACAGTTTTGTTGATGGAATTCTTCTAACCTATTTTGAAACACTTACCTCTGTCTCTTCGAATCATTTATCCTGTCTTAGTCTTAGATTTCAGATTGACAATAATATTCAAGTTATTATGAGGGTTAATCAAAATACTAGAGCTAGAGGTCTTGCTCAGAAATGACTACATGCTAAGCCTAGGATTACCAAGTCTGTCTGCTTATCAGAATCTTGCTTTGAAAAATACTTAGATCTCTCTGGTCCCTTTAAGATCTACGGGACAGCAAATAGGAATGATGGTGAGGGGTTTTAAAAAATCTTCTCAGGCAATTCTGATATAAAGCCATAGTTCAGAACAACTACACTGGGCACCAGACTTAAAAATTGAACTTCACTCTTCACCATTGAAGCATTAATTTCTATTGTGATAACTTTGAAGAACTCTTACTTAGATGTGTTTGTAAAATGAAGCATCTTTTAGACTATTTATACCTCATTAAGGACCATGGAGATGATTTTTGTTAAATGAGAGTTGGGGAAAGTGTCCTGGGAGTTTACAACCACAAGACTGGTCATCATATCTATTTTCATTGATTATTATAACCTGATGCTCATATTATGAGAGGCACCTATGTTCATGTCCGCAGACACCAAGGTGGGAGTAAGCACACTATTTGCTTGCTCTGCGAGTCAGCTTTTTCATGTGGGTGGATGGTAATTTTTATTCTGCAAATCTCAAGGATTTGTGTGAGGAACAAATGAGATAATATGAAGTTTATAAAAAAAAAGTGGCTGAGAAGATAATTTGGAGTCAAACTGTCATGAACTAGATCATTGCTTAACAGCGGGACACATGCCCACCCCCTAATGAAAGTCATTATGTGTATTTACAAGTGAGACTGCATAATAAACTAATTTTAAGTGGTGGTGATGTGTGATTTATAACTAAGTGTAGTTCTGCCTGATCCTTTTGATAGTAGGATATTTTCTTAAATTTGGAAGGGGTAGAACACAAGGAGACATTCCCAAATGTAACAATATGTTCATGTCCTTTTACCAAAGAAAACATACACACACACACACAATCTCACATCCTCCCATCCAGTCCAGCTAATGCCAGTTTCCTCTGTGGTATAAAGTTGCTGTAGGCTCAAAAATAAAATGTGTTTTGATGTCATAAGCACAAAGTCAGGTACTGGGTACACAGTCAATATCAGTTTCTCGATGCTATTTGAATGGATATTATTGCAATCACCCAGCCCATACAAATTCCACACACTTGCCAAGACGAACTACTGGACTGGGGTCTACAATAGAGCTAAGGCAAGCTTTTCCCTACATCCTCATCCAGAATATTCCTGCCTGATGCCTGGCTTCTCAGGAAACCTGCCTCTTTCAAGTTCAGACATCTGGAAATAAAAAGGCAGCATGACTTTCCGTCAAGGATGACATTCCTCCTAATAGTGATTCAAGACGGTTAGCGCACCTGTACGTGGGAAAAGAGGTCTGTGAAGGTTTTGTGGATGCATTCATCAAGTGATTACCCGGAGGTGGGAAAATGGATGCTTTGAGGTTAATCTTGTAGCCAAGATTAGGCTACAAACTGCGGTATAGGCTTCTCCATGGAATGCATGCAGAATGCAGACAACAGAGAAAAATTGAAAAGTAGAAACCTTGTAGGATAATGTTTCTTCAACGCAGCAAGTGTTGGTGTGTGATAAATAGGACCCTGAGTAATACCCACAGAATATAACAGGATT